CCCCAAAACCCCAAAACCCCGTTTTAATAAGATTGATTTATGATAGATTATGATTCATTAATATCTTAATTTTCTTCAGGATTTTATGATTTAGCTTTTTCAAATCCCTCTTATTTAAACTAATCTTCTTCATAATCATACATCTCTTCCTCTTCCTCAATTTCACTCTCGGTTTCATCTAAATCTTCAGCTAATTCATCATCTTCTTCCTCTTCATTAATCTCTTAGATTTAATCTAGGCATTACCCCTCTCCCATATTGAAGGGCTGAATCATCTAATCTTAGTATTAGCCAATCCTTAACTACTTGCTCTGTTGAGTTTACTCATCATCAACCTCGATTTAATCACATTCTATGTTTGATAGGCAAAAGCTTTAACTGCAATCGAATGAAAAACTTTGACTGAATTCGGTGCCATGAGTAGTGAAACTCACCTAACTTTACTTCATTTTCTCATCCAATTTCATCATCTGCTTGTTCTTTTTATTATTTACACTTTTATTCCACTCCTCTATAGCTTTTTCATATTTTTCTTTTTCGAGTTTTGATTCTTCATGATAAAATCGCTTTTACTCAGGACTTTGTTTAGCCCACTCGATGCTTACAGCCTTCATTCGATCACTCTCAGAGGCATTCGGCTTTCTAATTTTGAGTTTTTTCCTAACAATATTGGCAAATATTTAGTAGGGAGTTCTCGGCTTCTTTGGCTTACCGTCTTTTCCTCTTCTAACATCCCTTGAGTGCTTCAATATCTCCTACTCTTGAATATATAATTTAGATTACTCCTGATGCCTTAACCTATCCTCCTCACTTTTTACCTTATAAGAGGATTTTTACTCCTCACTCATTTCCTTCCACCTAACCCCAAGCTATCTCATAATATCTTGAAAATCTGATGAGTTAGTCTCCTCAATCAATTTAGGTCGTTCCTTATAAACATTTAAGTGATAAATAAGCATACCTCTTTGACAAAGATGACATAAGGACTAAGCACTTTTTTAGGAAGAGCTTTATCTTTCTTTATTTTTCTCCTTC